GAGACCGAAAAGCATTTGGTATAGTAACAAACGCATAATAATATATAAGCAAGTAAATTTGGCATGCTGAAAACAAACGTTTCTGAAATTTATCAAGGAAACGACGTTTTTGTTTTCTACTCCTGATGCTGGGTTTTGAAAACTCCAGATGACACTGGAGCACTTCAAAAGAGAACCGTTGGCTTAAGCCGAAAAACAAATGGAAGTTGGAAGACTAGTAAACTTAAATTCACAATTTCATTAGTTCTTGTTTTACCTAATAACGCAACTTTCCTTGTACACTGCGGGCTAAGAAGTCCAATATCTACAACAATTTAACTCACAAACCGTATTGCTGATAACCAACTTTCATGTCCGTTTAAACCAGTTCTAAAATTTACGAAGAAAGGTAAGGGCTGACGTATTTCTTTGAAGTCTGGCCAAATTTTAGAACCTTGATACGAAGTTAATGATATTCCTTTATGTTTGTAGTTTGGTTTTCAGCTGCTGTGCACGGCTCAAGTTGCTAATTTCTCATGGTTTGAAAACGTTTTGAAGTAGAGACTCGAACCCGGAATCACACATTTACATGCTGAAAATACTGATTTCATGAAAACTTTAACCGGCCATGAATTTCGTATGGAATTCTTCTCTCAAAGAAATAATATGAACTCAATATCAAAGGCGACAAATGTAAAATGAAAAATAAAGATAAAAACTACGGCGAACTGAAGGGTACTTAATTCAAAAGAAAGTTTCCAAGTTTTAAGTGTTGCAACAATCAAATGAACCTCAACTTTTTTCTTGTTCTTGTTGTGAACCATGATTGACGTCATAAGATAATGGCAATATATCTGTAGATCCTCTCTCACAGAAACAGAAAGAAGCAATCGACGAAACGACAGGACTGTCCTCGACATGTCAAAGAGCTCTTGCACGCGAAATATCTTTAACAGTTCTTGTGACATAAGGATCCGCTATAGGTGTGTGCCTTAGTTGCTATGGTGATACTACGTGAAAACAATGATTAAATTTTTTATGCATCAGAGATCTAAATTATAAGCATCGAAGAGCCGATCTAGCGTCTGTTTTGATTTTCACGGAGCATTTAACCCGTAGGTGGACATTTTTTGAGGAGTCCGCCAAAATGTCTAAGTGCCGCAAAACTATGTTGTCATGAGCGAATTGTGATCTAAATTGCGCATGCGTAAATGCCCTCAGCGTGAAGTGCTTGTTTTTCAGACGCAGCTTGCATGAATGAATTCCAAGACGACTGTGATGATGACAATGACGAAATGCATCATATTGTCAGGCGCTCTATCGCAAATGTAAGTTTCTTTACTGCTCACATCATTTTTAACCCTAATCTGCTGCTCCATTTCATTTAAGGAGAGACAAGAGGCTTTCTCCTCGATTTACAAGACCAAATATAAAACTGACTTTTCAGTGAAATAGTCTGGAAAAGAAGCATGAATTATTTTCTCAGTTGTTAATGAATGATTCATTATCTTTTAGCCTTCAACAGTCTCGAAATCCTTCAAAGTCGACTTCTCTCCAATAGTTCAGAATGTTACTTACTACAACACCGGTGACTCGATGTCTTTTCAACTCAACCTGACACACAACCAATCCGCAGGAGCTGTCGATTTGAAGAACAACCTCAAAGTTGTTCTGTGGTCGCAGTATCTCGAGCCTGTAAACAGCTCACTGTCCGTTGTAGCCGGGAGTATCAATGGTGCAGCGCAATACAACTCCAGCGCGATTTCTTTTGATGTGACATCGCTGAATAGTGGAGACGTAGTGTCCATCACTTTCGAGGCCACAGTCAAAGACTCAATTCAGCCTTTGTCGAATCTTTACTTTGCTGTACTAGTTACTGGTCAGGATGGCAGTAATAACAATTACCACTATGGCCCAGTTCCCTCGCAGCCAACCCTGTATGCCGTGTTCCCAACAGTGTCACTGGCCAGAACTTCGTACTCATGTAAGTATCACTCATGTGTCCTTGCGTATTATCGTAGGGACTGGTGTAGGTCATTTCACTTTTTCTTTAAAAGCAAAAATAACATTTCGTCTCAAGAACAATAATTCGACCGATTGATAGAGTCTGCAACACTTAGTTATTCAGAATTAGGGAGAGGTATAAAATGAAAAAAAGAATATTGAGCGGGATATGTCCTAAAGAAATATAATCAGATTCGTTAACGAGAATTCGCAGAAGATCTAAGCTTGATCTAAAGCACGGCTATGTACTTGGTCAGAGTGTTTTTATAACATAGATGAATCAAATTACCTTTACTTGCGGTAGAAATTGAATAGCAATTCTTGATTTGGTTTTCCCTGATACAGTTCAGCAGACTTCTGGGCTGAAAAATTTAATTCCCTGCCTTTAAATTGACTTGCAGACCTATGGGTAGGCAATACGACTGGATATACCATGACTGTCCATTTACCAAAACTCAACTTTTCTCTGCTGGTTGAGATAAGCACCAATATCAATGATTTCTCCTTCATGGAACTGCACAATGTACAAGTCAAGAATCCTGGAGGAGGGATACCAAATGCTGTCGCTTCATATGACTCCAGCGATGAAGTGCCCTTCAATGACCGCGCTGTTCTGGACTTTGGAAACTTAACTGTAAGTGATAATGTTGGTGAAGTTGTTGCAAAGGCACATGCTTCGCAATGCGTGATATTTAGAGAATCGTGTCTAGAGTCTAGATTTAATGTTCACGTATGAGATAATGATGACAACTGTATGGTACGGAGTGATGCAGAAATCTCACCACTTACCAGAGTTTAGTGGCAGAGCATGGCTGGGTGGGTGAGTGGGTGAGTAAGTTGTTGAGTGATTTGACGAGGCGCCTTCTGAGGTGAAAGGTAAAGTCTGGATACGAGCCAAGTGGCCCATCAGGCCAGAGCTTATCCCGGTTTCTGTAGCATGAAGCGACTAGGAGTATCTCTACTCCCCCCTAGATGGGATGCTAGTCCATCGCAGGGTTACCCCTAGCGTTAGGTTCGCCGGTACCCATTTATACACCTGGGTGAAGAGAGGCACTGAGAAAGTAAAGTGTCTTGCCCAAGTACAATGTCCCCAGCCAGGGCTCGAACCCGGACCGCTCAATTCGGCCGGGAGACGAGCGCACTAACCACGAGGCTACCGCGCCTCCCATTGCCTTCTGAGGTAACTTGACGTAAATTCTCGTCATGGAAGAATCTCGTTTTGTGATATTTCGCGAGTTCCAGCGAGGCAAGACTTCCATCACTTCCCAATAAATTCAGGTGAATTTATCTCTCTTCCATCTTATTTGTTTTTGTTCAATTTGTTTTCATTGCCAAGGTTTCTGGCAGCGACGCATCCCCAAACAAGATTGTGATAGAATACAACGTCACTATCAAAGATCATCCACTGCTAGCTAATAACTCAAAACACTGGGTGGGCGCAGGCATGCGCAGTGGCTACCAAATGCTGTGGGTGGGCCAAGAGGCGCTGTACGTATACAAGGTGTGTATTATGTCTTTGTGTCAGACTGCAAATTCTCCTTACATGTCTCCATACGTTTTGTATATTGTTAGTTTAGAGAATTCAATTGATATCAGTGAAGTTTTCCCGTGATGAGCAGAATCAGTTTACTTTCAAGCATTTTTCCTTGATTAATTAACAAGGCTGAGTGGAGGTGGCTTTTAGTCATAGGTGACTCAACTGTATAGAAATTTACTACTCTCAATATTATATCCAGAAGAGAACCTCTGCATCACTCTCAAAAAAATATAGAAAACAACAGACATTTCAGTGTGTTGCGTCACAAACATTTTGAACTGTATTTTGCTTTCATTCGTGTGCGTTAAGGAAAACGAGAATCACTTCTACTAACCTGTTTAACTGGTTACCCCACTAAGCAACTCACTATCATATACAATTTGTATGGTTTTCTGAGCGCATTAATTGTATTCCATGACTTATGTTTATAACCTGTATAATAACCCGTATTTTCCTTCTTATTTGTCTCAAACAGAGTGAGCCATCGTTAACTGCCAAATTTACAACCACTAACGACACTGTCAGTAATCGATACTTGATTGGAGATATGCTGTTTGTGAACTGGACTGTCGAGCATATGGAAAACACATCTTATGAGGACGCAAAAAATGTACGAGTATCTTTCTACTCCAACACTCTGAAAATTTTGACGGCGACCTACAGTGATCCAAACAACGCCAGCCAGTCATTGAAAAAGAAAGACGATTTTCATTCGGATGAAATCTTGGTCCCAACGTTATCACAAGGTAAGTAATGGCTTTTAAAAAGAAATAAGAAGTCGGTAAAATTCAAACGGCACCTAAAGATTATCCTTAAACTTTCCTTAAAAATCATACTAATAAAATTTTTAAACGTGTCTTCATGTTGTTAGCACTTTCTTTATTTCACATAATTGCAGCATTCAATAACAAAAATATGTCTGGGCTCCTTTTGTTGACAGAACATTCCATCTTATTAACATCTATTATTTTTTTGCTTTTTTATCTTTTAGGCCAAACGATCTCTGGGGATTTAGTCCTGATTGTCAGCGACAGAATCTCTCCACTGGAGCCTCTTGATATCTTCATGCAGCTCAAATATCAGAACTTAAGAGAAGATGAAAAGCTCAACACAACCCATAAGCCTTCGCCGTCTTATGTGGCTGGAGTCCCAGGCTTCTCGCTCAGACTCAACGAATCAACCAATCAGATACGAATCGGTGGCCGCGCCAAATTTTACTTCAATATATTAATGAGACGAATCGTTTCCACTCTGACAGTAGAGGTGCTTTTTTTTATGAAAAAATATATTTTGTAGTTAATTACGAGCTTGAGCCACTGGCTCGTCAATGTAAACTGTTTTGTGCCACTGTTCCATCGCATTTATTACATTGCGTTGTTGTTTTATTACTCTAAATTAAAAATTGGATGGTGGCTTGAACGAATACTCTTTTTACTTTGTATCTCATCTCGAAGAACTGATTGATTCAGCTTAAGTAGTTAGAGAAGTTGCTAGGTTTCATTTGCAAGAAAACGCTTGGAGATCAATACAGCAATAAAAAATAATAGGAAGTTAGCAGTTACTAAATTTTCAGAGCTCGAGATCCCCAGCTTTAGGAAACCTTTCTTTTGAGTATAGATGAGTATTCAGATTTAAGATTCTTATTATTTGCTTTATTGACAAATACAATTTTACACTGATTAAATTACAATATCAACAAGGAAAAGTGAGAAAAATAGAGAAAAAAATTAGACTAATATGTGTGACATATTTGGCATCAGTTAAAATCAGCCAGTTATAAGCTTGCGGAGAATGTGCATGTACCATACGTACGTTCAAGCGCTGTAGGCGATGTAGCAGTGATGTAGTGATGTGACCATGTTCAGAATATATGCCAGAGCTTGTTTAACAATCGAAAACTTTTCTTTCGCTTCCGGGCACAACTAGCAAAAACCCTGGATTGTAAACACACGTTGCAAATAATATGTCATACGCTCCAATTCGACGATAATGCAATGATACTTGAAGGTCAAAGCAACAACTTCACGAAAAGATAAACTCGACCTGCCAGCGTAAGCACTTTAGCATTTGTGGACAAATACTGAGGTCTTTATTTTTAACATTGCAGGTAATCCTTCCTGTGAATGAAACTTCAATCATGTCTCTCGTCTCATTGCAAGTTGTCGGTGTGGGTAAAAACATAAAAAATAACGCTGCCCTTAGCCAAATGACAGCACAACTCAGTTCCACCGTCGGAGACCCAAAGCTTCACGATCGCGGCAAGATCGACTTCGGCACGGTCGAAAGTACGGTCGGCGACGTAGATCACCCAGATAACAAGATCATGTTGGAATTCGAGATTATTGTAAACGACCACGCCAACGTGACAAATGGTTCAAAGCACTGGGTGGGGGTGGGGGTGCGCGGCGGAAAGCGCATGATGTGGATCGGAGACTTTGCACTGATAGCAGATGTTCCTGTGGACAGAAGACCGATTTTGCAAGTTGTAGCGAGTTGTGTTGTTCCGGGCACTAAGCTCTCATGCAGTGAGGCTACCACTCTGGAGAGAAGGTAAAATAAACTTCAATGTTACTAGTATCACGTTTGCTGTCGCCTTACCGAGAGCGTTCAGTTGTTCGTCTTTTCGATGTAAGGAGGCCTGGTTGATTTGTAGTTTTGATGAGGTTGGGTACGGTTTATAAAGGGTTCACGCTATTGTGTTATGTATCTCTTCAGCTCGAGAGTGCATTTCAACGGAACAGTGTCCCATGCCGAGCAATCGCAGCAATACGCAGATAATGTGAACGTGTTTTGGATGATGCCACCGTATGTGAATTACACTACGCTGGAGAGAGATCCTGAATTGAATTACTTGGAAACTAAACAAGGACCCAAGTTTAGCGTGAGTTGATCAGTAAATAGATTGAAAGACTGAGAGTAGACGGAGAGTAAAGCTTAAAATAAATGAACCAACGAACAAATACACGGACGAAGAGCGAACGGTTGGCTGAATAGCATTGTTAAATCGAGCGTTTTCCTTCCGTCAGAGAAAGCATAGATAGAGACGACCTTCCGTATATACACGAGTCATGTCTGTTTCTATTAAATGTCGAGATTTTTATTTCCAGTTTGTCAAGGGAATGCACTTCCTAGACCAGTTTTCATTCTCAGTCGAAGGGAACCTGGATCCTGATGGACTTATGCCTCCAGGCGAAAATTACGCCGTGTCCCCGATACAGCTGTCCTACAGTCCAGCAAGTATGTCAGCCATATATGGAGCTCCACCCGTACCAGTGTCCCTTAAGTTCAAGTCGCCAGGTAAGGGAGGGAACGGGCTCCAGGACCTTTCTATAGAACTAATAGGCTGTTATAGGAGTCGGAGGGAATGAAAAGAAGAGTTATCTTTAATGAAACCCCTACCCTGCTCCGGAAGAGATGTAATCCACCTTAATCCCTAATTTAAAATTAACATTGGGTAACGTTTCTTTGCCGGGTTAAGTTAGTCTTTCCGATTTAAGCAGTAATACGAGAAAGTGGAACAACCCAACATTATAATGGAAGTTATTTCGTGACAACATTAACATATACTAATACTAATTTATAGAGGCAATCCATTAATTTCCCTTGGCGCTTCACAAAAAGAAAATGAGAAAAATAGTTTAAAATTTAAAAAAAAAATAAAAAGCTGATAAAAGGAGAGATAAGTTAAAAGGTCTCAAAGAAAATTAAAGAAATGTGCTTTTAAAGACTTGTTTAAAAAGATATGTTTCAAATGTATTTTAACACTGATTTGTTTCGTTAACGGCACATGACCAAATAACAGGAACTCATTAAGAAGTGGAAATGGCTGATTTGTGGAAATTGTTTACCCATGACATGATAAAGACCTGCCATCACGTGACCAAGACAGACAGACTGACATTCGTTTTTTTTTTATTCTTTTAAGGTGATGGTGCTCCTGCGGGAACGCCTTCAGAGCTTCCAGGTATGTCATATTCTTGAGCTTGATATTCAAATTCATCCAGACATACAAATAGAGTAAAGAACCGCCAGAAGAGCTCGTCTGCTATTTTCTAATTGTCCCAATCAACCAACCGTCTAATCAACCAACCAACCAACCAACCAGTTAACCAACCGATTGATCAATCCATCGATCACTCATTACATTATAAGTCAAATTATCCTCGCATTTTAATTGGTTCTTACTTGTGATCGATTGGAGGAGAGACGTATAAATAACCACCGTCATTACCATTTTTTTGTATTTCTTTAATTTTTTATGCAAAACAGATTCCATGTCCCGTGCCATTGTTCAGTAATAGATCACAGAAGATGTTAAAATGTGGTTAGAGCATCAGTGACACACTCGCCTAACGGCTCGTGTGCCACTTTTGTTCTTATCACAGTTTGATGTCATCTGTGATCAATTACTGAACGGACGCACGGCGACATGGAATCTATTTATTAAATTGAAAATTAAATTAAATTTTTAAACCTGAATGTGTTATACTTTCTATAAACGTTTTCTTTCCAGAGATATATAGCCGAGGATTTCTGGTGCACAAAACTCAAGACATTGTTTACGTGTGTCAAAAATCAAGCGACAGGTAAATATATCACGGTTACATTGCAAGAGATTATATCTAGTCTGATTATCAGTTAAATTTTCCGTACCACAGACTAAGGGTAACAAAAGCAAAGAAATTCAGCAACTCGTGAAGGATCAACATTTGTTGATGTATCACTAGATTTTCAGAATCCACCAAAATCAAAAGGAGAATACTGACTGATCAGTTCTGATGTTTTTTTTACTCTAGGTTGAAGTCTAGCTGCTTCTCGACGGATGACAAGGCACATGCGTGGACTGGTAACACATAGATTTCATTTACACGTTTAAGTTATAGTTCAAAGTAAGATGTTGCAGTTCTTGCGAACCAAAGCCATAAACATTGGTTTAATTAAGAGTGTTGGAGCATTCGCTCATTTTAGGTGAAGAGCGCAGGGATACGGTATAGAAATTGAAACGTGATACGTGAGAATACCCGCCACGAAGGGCTCGTGCTATGTACTTATTGACTGACTGGGAGGGCCGGACGGGATAATATTTGATTTGAGGTCAGGACCGAGCGCAGCGAGGTTCGCACGTTCTCACCGAATGTCAAATATTTCCCGTCCGGCCCGACCTCAGTCAGTCAATAAGCAATTTATCACATGGAAATTTTTGTTTTTCAATTTGTGAGGAGTGTTGACTTACTATCTGTGCTTTCGGAGTAAGTTGGCACCTGAATTAGTTGTGCATTAGTAAGACCGTACGCGTTTTTTCCGGCCCTGACTATCACTTTGATGCGTTCGGTCCTCATACGGGACATTTTTCGTATGGTCTTCCAAGGAAATAGTGCGCAGGGCTGTACTAGTCATATGATAACAAAGCGTATTGCACGGCACTGTAGGCAACATAACTGCGATTAAAGGATGGATTTCGTGTGAAGTCATTGTAGCATGGCCAACCTTTTTTGACATGGTGTCCATGGTAGACATTCAAATCTAAAGTCTTAAAAGGGCTTTTCATCAAAACTAGATGGTCATAATAAAGGCGACTGATCACGGTGAAAACTTGGACCTTTTCACTCCATGAAAAACAGTGTTAAGAAAAGGCAAACTGTTACAGAGATCATCTAACAATAAGTGCAAAATAGACAAAGCTAGCTAAACAAATGAAAACAAGTCAATTTTTTTTTCTACTAGTACCTACTTGTGAAGGAACCTATTTTACGCGTTTGGTAAAATCAGTCTAATTGTAGACAAAAAATAAAAATGAAATCAGATCAATACTGCACCAGTCAAAGACATTGTAAATGAGGTTGGAAAAATCGTGAAAAGCCATGTATCTTGGAAACGTATACGTTGGAGCAATTGAGTGATTTATTTAGCAATGAAGTGTTTGGATTTCTCCTTCAGCTATGGATCAACAAGTCGGCTATGTGATTGGCCAAGATGGAGAGGACTTGTACGGTATAGCGTGCAACAACCGCGCTTACATGCGTAAGCGAGGTATTCAAGGTGCTTGGTATGGCATCGAGAAACGGGTCTGGGAGAAAGCCAAAGCAAGGAACAGCAACATCCAGGAAAACCTTGTTAAGATCGAGGAAAATGACTCGAACACCGGAGATCCAATAGCTAGCATGACGAAGCAGACAACTGATACAACCAAATGGGGAGGTAAATGTCCCTAAGGATTAACACTCTTTAATTTCACCTCTTGACTCGAACTGCGATATGCGAGCAGCCCCTTATCCATTCCTTGCTTGCTCATTCAATTTCTTCCAGATATTGACAAGTCATTTTTAAGAATGGGGTATAAACACGACTGCTCAACATTGAATCGCTTGTTCACTCATCTTGATCTTCGCGTCTTGTTTTATATTTCAGGAAACGCAAAGGGAGTGCACATCAAAATCGGGAACGTCTGGTACCTGAAGGCTCAGTGGAAATGCTGCGGAAATTAAGCCAACGTTCCCACGTTTCTTTGATTATTTGAGTCCATCTTGTGGGATTTATAGGACAGTATATTAATTCCGTAGAGCACTGCACTTAACTGTTTTCTGAAAAATCACACAGGAATCAGAACTTTTTCGCACGCTTTTCCAGCTTTCTTAGTCTGAAGTGATTTCAAGGATCTAATTTGTATTATTTGTTCGAAACTTCGTAAAAGCAATACCTAAGTAACGAGTCGCTCGCGACAGAGGACCGGCTAAAGATCCATTTCAGTTACATGATTGATGTAAATAGTTCGAAATATTCGTGGTAGTACTCATGAACTCCGGGTATATGTTCTAACCCTGAAATACTCAGTTTGTCGAATAAAACATTATGGACACGAAGTCGTAGAATTGGTCATATTCTTAAAGGCATTTGGGCCAAAAGTTAACATTAACAAAGTTCTACATATCCAATCCCTTTCTGACGTCACTTTCACTCTTTAGTCATACACAGTTACAAAGAAAGTTCCGTTCATTTGTCAGTATTAAGCTTTTAGAAATTATGCTTATCTCGAAGGGGTTGTTCTTTCAATAATGTCATTCTAATGAGTCCTGAAAGTGATTTGTCATTTCGATAAACTCGACGTGACAAAAAACAATCAGAAACAAGACAGGTAAAGGTAAAGTCTGCATACGAGCCAAGTGGCCCAGCAGGCCAGAGCTTATCCTGGTTTCTGTTGCATGAAGCGACTAGGAGTATTTCTACTCACCCCTGGATGGGATGCTAGTCCATCGCAGTGTTACCCCCAGCATTAAGTTTGCCTGTACCTATTTATTCATCTGGGTGTAGAGAGGCACTGTGAGAGTAATGTGTCTTGCCCAAGAACACAACACAATGTCCCCGGCCAGGGCTTTAACCCGGACCGCTCGATCTGGAGACGAGCGCACTAACCATTAGGCCACCGCGCCTTCCACAAAGCCTAACAAAACACACGCAAATCAGCTGGGTAACCAACTTAAAACTGCGCGACAATCAGAAAGGCCAACCCAGCTAAATGAATGCCAAAACGAAGGCCAGTCAGTTAGACTTAAGACATACAGTAAAAGCCTGCGAGTAAGAACCTGCATTTTGCCAAGTTAGGCTAAACAGGTTCTCACATAGAGGGTATCTAGCAAACATTTCGGCTACTAAGGTTCTTTAAAGGGTTCTTATTTTCTTAAGAAAATAATTTCAGAGAAGTTTTCAAATCTAGTGGTTTTCAGCCTATTCCTTACATAAAATTAGCATAAAAAGTATTTGTTTATGCAATAATTAACAATTGTTCACCGAAGTGGAGGTAAATATCCATCACTTTCACCGACACTGAGGTGAATAATTGTTTTAGTATATACCACACAAGCTGAATAATTAGCGGACCAAAACGTTATTTTGTGGGACAAGCGGTCGGAAATTTTAAAATCTCTCGCGCCGGGTGCTCGGAGGTGAATGGTACTTGCTAGTCACCTCCGAGTTAACCAATCAGAGCGCGCGAAAAGCACTATTCACTTGTGTAGTATATACTGACTGACATGTCCACGTAAAGGGTCATGTTGAAGTCTTACCTTTGTGCATAACATTACATGCTTCCTGACCGTCAACGGTGTAAGATCCCAAACGTTTCTAACACAACTTATGATTTTTTTTTTTGCATGCAACATGCACTATCATTTCCACACTGATTAATAATAGTGATAATTCACTGTGAACACAAAGTAAAAAGTCTCATGTCACCAACCACACCCTTCTGTGGACCCTGCTACATTGTAATTACAGTTCACAAACTGATCCATTGTTAAAGATAATTTGAAATAGAGAAAAATAGGGAATCTTTAACTTAAAACTTATAGTCTTCAAGTCCTTGGGGTCTGACCAGGTCATCCTCAGATCCATCAACAGTAATGAGCCCATCCAGTTTTCTGGAAGAGTCTCAAAAAAAATGTATTATCTTTTTTTAGTTTCTGCCATGCTGCAGCTGTCCACTTTGTCATATCTTATTTTTATTATTATTATTATGTGATTTTGGCAACACTGTATTGTGATTCTATTTAAGTACAGAGCATCGGCATTAAATTAAAAATTTCAATGAATATATGAAGGTACCTGTGTTTCCATAAAAGGATGGCAAAACGCTATTTGTTCAATTTAGTGAATATTTACCTATGATTCAGAAAAACAGAACCTGTTTGAAATTTTAGGCTAAACAGATTCTTGCACAGAGGGGGTCTTACTGGCACATTTTAGCCTGGCAGGTTCTTAAAATCTCGGTTCTTACTCGCGTCTTTTTACTGTAAATTAATCAGCAAAATTAATGTAACAAAGCACAGATGTTAATTGAAAATAGGTTGTTACAAGAGGACTTCCTTGTCCTCTCTCACAAGATGACGAGTCCTCGCTTCATCGGAATAACATGACTTCCTCTTTTCCAACAAAAAGGTGATTAATAAAGTAAAAACAAGCATTTGATATATTTAAAATAATAGTTTTATTTCTCTCGGTAACTTTAAAGGCACGACTGCAAAATATGTTTCAATACTGACGCCATACATAAGACGGGATACATAAGAAGTCCTCATGTAAATTAATCTTACATACATGCTCAGATGTCTCTAAGCCAAGAGAAGATCAAGGTAGAACTTCTTTTGCTCTGAGCGAAGGTCTACAAATCCAAGAACATAAATGGTTATAGAATTCTGTCGATAGACAAAATTAAAGCTTCTTAAAATACAGCTTCTTTGGTCTCTTGTGAAGAGTTATTTTATGATATCGTATTATTGTCACGCTTTGTGCTCGACTTTATGATGTGAATTTCGAATGGTTTCCCGTTGTCTCTTTTTATTCGAGTTAAGGGACTTCAAACAACACCAGGGCCCTCAGGACTACTGTACTAATGCCTTAAGTAGGGTTACCTTACGAGACACACTGCGCCAAAACTGTAACTAATATCAGATGGAACGCAATATTCAGGTTTTTGTACTTCAAGTCTACCTCTGTGTAGCGAATACCACATGAATGCCAAATATTTAAAAGCTTGTTTCCATTAGCAGCGTAAGCAAAGCTTGACAATCTTTTATTCACCTCGCTAGGAATTACTGCCACGTAAACTCATTCATGAGTGTAAGTGCAGTGAATATGGAAATTTGTGTTTCCTTGTGTCTCTAATTGTGTTGTCAAAATTATGATGCCAAGTGAAAAAAAAAGGATTGCATTCGTTTTGGTATGGTTATGTTACTGGTAAAAACCAGCCTTTACGAGGTTTAAAAAAGAACTGCGCCCAAGTAGGAAATTTTCATTTCAGAAAATTTATTTTTTCCAGTGTGAAAATTATTAGTAAAGTATTAAAAAAAAAAATCATTAAAAAATATCACTAAGTTATGCAACAGTAATATTAACCCGTTTTTAGTATTTATGCTTACTAATTCTATTACGTTAGTCATGTCCTTTAGCTCCTTTGTACTTGAGGTTGAATTTACAATCTCGGGCACGCTTCTCTAGTAACGTTTAGAAAGACCTACTGCAAACGTGATCACGAACCTTCACACCTGTGTTTCACGCAGAGGCCAGCTAAAAGTCGTAACGCGATACGAACACAAACATCCTGTGCACGAAGCGTGACGCCAAATCGCCAGTCTCGAAATCAGTGACATCTCCGCGGAATTCCAGCAAGAAAATCTTGGGGCCTTCGATTCGTTTCTTGCTTTTGATGTATGCAATCACCCCGTTACTCTCACCTTTCGTGTCTATTTCAAAGTAACCCTCTTCGTTTCCACGATGAAAGTAAAATGTTATATTCGGGGTAGTCCTGTAGCCTGTAGCGACAAAACAGAATGAAGAGTGACGTTATTTTCGGCTCAAGCGGATAACACGTATAAACAATATCGATGTGAAAAAAAACCCCAAAACAGACAAGTAAACAAAAAGTCGAGCTTTCAGCTACGGACGAAATAATAACAATGAATTTTAGGAAACCGGAGAGGACTACGAGCTGATCGGATTTCAGAAACCCGCTGATAGAGTCGTGAGGAACACAAGTAAACAGACTTGCGTCTCCGCACACTTAACTCTGCACTCGCTAGAGTTGTTTGTTGTCAAACTCATTAATAATTCATCAAGCTAAAACAAAGAAAATCACAAGCGTGAACGAGGTTGGATACCCGGTCTTAATTAGCAGAGATTTTACTTCTCCGTTTACTCCTTAGTTTTTGTTTCGATTGAGAAAATATATCAAACACTCGAGACAGTGTTTCATCGGCTATCCAAGGACCTCGAATTTCGTCAAACATACTCCGGTGCGCGTTGTGTTTTCAACTCTCTTCTCGGTGTTTGGATATCCCGATGAAACACTGTCTCTCGTGTTTGATATATTACTTGAAAGCGTCCAAAGTTACAAGCATCTCTTCGTCTACACTGTAGTGCTTTCTGATTGATTGATTGATTGATTAATTAATTGATTGTCTATTGCGCGCAAAAATCCAAACTTGAGCTATAACTAATCAGAGAACTACTTAAATCTCTGACAATAATTTAAGTTTTCGATAGTAAGATTACATGACTCTCCAAACCCCTCAAATCTAGCTCTTACCATAAGTGACAATACGGTAGCTAAAAATTGTCGACGGTGGATCGTTGCTGCGTAGCTTGAACGTCCACAAACTATACCTCCGCACCTTCCTACTAAAGCAGGCCAGGTCTCCATCTTTGCAACTTCGGTCGCATCTCCTAATCAAAGATAATAATAGATAAGGCCAAGGGTTAGGTCTGCTTCGATCTTTGAGGGATCGGAGAAGCTGGTCGCCTGTTTATATGAATTTCACGACAAAAAACAAATTTACGTTGTTGCTGGATCTCTTTCTAGGGGTACTCAATAATTGCTTCATTGGTACGTCTCTTTTGCCTTATAACTTGAAAACATCCCCCTCCTCCCACCCCTCGGTAATACGAAGGGACGATGTCTTGACTAGATATCATGACAGTCTTGACTCGGGGCATTCCTGTTTTGTCTATTACAATGTCCGTTGAAGTTAAAACGTATAAACGAAAACTCTGTAGAGGAATGGTACGGCAAGCAAGAATAAGGTAATTATTTTATTACTTACGTATCAGAGACTTGTTCGTAGTCTGAAGGACACGTCATTTTAGCAATGCACCTGTAAGAACCGTATGTATTGAAGCAGAATTCATTGTCTTTGCACTGAGCCCCAGCTTTGCACTCATCAAAATCTGAAGCATGGGAGAAAACGAGTGCGTTATTCTGTGTTTTCTCAACTCTATTTTTGAGAACTGGCTCTGCTTCTGAGAACTCGCTGTTTTCGTTAGAGTATTGGAGTTGTTATGTCGTTGTTAAACGGGCAATGTGAATCTGAAAATCTGCGGTGCCCCTATATAACGGCTCTCGGTAACTCGAATAGTGACTGCCATGGTTTCAGACGTCTTTCGTTCTTTATTTTTAAAGCGTTACCACGTTTTTTTTATTTTTAAAAATTAAAACGTTACAATTATCTCAGTACAAGATTATTACAAACAAAAGGCTACTTACAATACTTGAGTAGATAATTACACACACTATAAAACACAACAACATAACGAATAGTCATAGCTTTGCAGTCTGGTCTCATGAGATTTGAAGGAATATTTCCCTGAATGATTCTTAAGACGTTTACGAATACGGAGAAAATGGATCGGAGGATAAAGGACTTTTAAAAAAGTAGAGATTTAAAATTAGATAGATAGATAATTGATAGATTGAAAGAATACCCCCACATTTACAGTCCTCATTTTCTAGATTTCTCGCCAGAAGTCCAGCGATTTGGTCTGGTGCTCTTACCTGAGCAATAGTAGCCGGAAGAGTTGTAACCGCTCGGACAAATGCAACGAAAGCTTCCACCAGTGTTTAAACAACGGTAAGCACATTTAACTGAGTCACATTCGTTCCTATCTGCAGGAAAAGCACAACATGACAATAACAATTTAGTGTCAGTAGGCTGAGTCTACAATGAGAATGAACCCAGTGAATGTTGTTGTTTGGGTATTGCCGACTCAGCAATGATGTGCTTGTTTTGTAAGTTCTGTATTCTGGAGGGGAAATTTCACATTTTATTCCAACGGCCAATGAAAATGTTGAAAGCCGTTTATATTCATGGTTGCGTTTTCCGGCCACGACTCGACGCGACAAAACCCACAAACTCAAAACCCAAACCAAAACAGCAATCTAAGTATGGATTAAAGGGATATACAATGCCTTCTTGTGCTAAATAACTTGAGACTTGCGTGTACAGTGATACATCAACTCTCTGGCGGGATATTTCACGACGTTGCTTAAATAGAGGTTATTAAACGGCGGCGCGAAGATATGAATTATATTTTAGAGTGGTAAAAATAATATTTTACGAACAAACACAGCGTGTAAGTAAACGTTTGTTCCAAACACGGGAAAATGAAAAAAAAAAAAAAAACGGGAATGACGTCATCGATATCTTCATCAGTGAGATTATGGAGTGACGTATTTTCCAGTAAAACACTCGTGCCAATAAAATAACAACTATTCTTCTTATTATGTTATTATTAACGTAATAAACTTTAGTTTAAATATTTGCAGAATTTGAATCACTTTTACCGTTACAAGTTCGTCCGTCGGAACTCAGCTCGTAGCCCCGTCTACACCGACATACAAAGGACCCCAGGGTATTTTCGCAGACTTGGGAACATCCAGAAATACCTTTAGTACACTCATCTATATCTGTTATCAAAAAGGAAGATCATTACATTAACAGGCACGTGGGTCTGCAGGGAGTACTGGAACCTCAGTTATCAGTTCAAATTTTAACCAATCTCACAGCTACCAGTAAATTTTCCAGATCTCAGATCTCCGCTATATCAGTTGAGAAAAAAGTAATTTCTCAACCTCTTTCCCAGGGTCTTTCATCTTACCGCCCCCTGGAGCGAGAGAGGAGAGACTCTGGTTGGGTCTGGTTACGTGTCTCCCAGAACCTAGGAGATGACAATTAAATTCAGTGAACGGAGGGGTGACTTAGTAGGAAGTTTGTCTATACTGAGCCTACGGTAGTGCGAGATGTGTTGTCACCAAAATAAACTTTGAAAATGTTCAGACACGTTTGTTCAGTTATTTGTTACATTCTGCTGTCATTTGCCGTAACAAATAGTCGCGGCGTTCAACATTATCTGCGATGTCTTACCTCTGCATGTTCGTTTATTGGGCATCATCTCAAAACCCTTCCTGCAACGACAGACAAATGAACCAGGTGTGTTTTGACAAATCTGGCTGCAGCCTGATCTTCTTTCATTACATTCATCGATTTCTGAAGAAAAGGGCAAAATGTCAAGAATTCATAATCTCTTCCGCGTGTTGTTAGTTGTCACATGATGCCTTTTTTCCATACCATACCGCGACTTAGTCCAGGATGGGAAGTTTTTTTTAAAGCGGGTAACACTCTCTTCCTCTCCTAGCATCACGTCCAGTAATGGGCACCGATTTCTATTCAACAATTAGATTATGAGCTCGAGATTTCTATTGCGTGATAGTTGATGAGGGCGCAGCCCGAGTCAACTATCACGCATAGAAATCGAGAGCGAATAATCTAACTGTTTTAGTATAAATCTACTGGTCGTTCAAAACTTTATCTAAATCCTCTTCGCAGACACTTTGAAAACGCAAGAGTGGCCGCAAGTATGTTAACTAGCGCACAATGCTAGGCTACTCACTATCTACTGCAGAATAGATAGTGAGTATTGTAGACAATCAGAGATTGAACAGCATTCGTGATAGAACGTTGGTAGATTTATGTTAATCTTGTGTGGAGTATTACATATAGATAAAGACCTATCCTAAAAGCAGGCACTCACACACCTTCACACCTATTGGTGATAATGCTCCGTCGATATCCGTCCTGACATGTGCAGTAGTAACCACCGGGATAGTTTTGACAGCTCTCATCTGCCCGACACCTGGGCGGTGACTCCAGACATTCATTAATCTCTGGTAAAAATGGGAATTCAACAGCAAATAACTGAGAAAATACTTCAAAAGAAAGTCTTGAAGTTGCGGACACCAATATTTCTGAGTGACCGACGCGAAGTATTGGCTACCTAACTGACTGACTGACTGACAAGCTATCTACCTGCCAGCCCGACTGTCTGGCTGACTAGCGGTCTGACGAACTGACTGTCTGTCTGTCTACTTGCCTGTCCATCTGACTGACTGGCTGCTTGGTTGTACGCCTGGCTGAATGACTGTCTAACTGACTCCCTGGCTGACTGATGGCCTGACGGACAAACTGACCGTCTGTCTGTCTGCTTACCTGACTGTCTGACGGATTGGCTTCCTGGATGCCTGGCTGGCTGAATGACTGTCTAACTGACTGAATGACTGACTGGGTGAATAAATGGTTGGCTCCCAAGGTTATAATGACTGACTGATTAGCTGTCCTTGGTATCTTACTGTAACACCAACCTTTGCAGTCAGCATTTTTCTGGTCAACAACTTCACATCTGTAGCCAACGGGGCAGGGTTTAAATGTGCAGGGGTCGATACCTACAAGAGAGAAAACAGGTTAAATAAGCATATTAAATACTAATACAGAACAAGGAGTACCATAAGCATGCAAAGTGTTCTTCTTCTTAACTCACTACTGAAAAACAAAGGGCATGGTAAACACTGCTTCACGTCTAACGCTTACCGAAAGGAAATATTTCCACAACCAAATTCTTCCAGTTAGTTATATAACGTTACAGAAATATGCACTGGGTCATAAAAATCTCGACGGCCAACGAGAAAAAATGGTCTATAATAGCCTTTAGCAAGTTCTTTGTCAAAAACTTACGCTCGCATTTTTGTGTCTGCCTGTTTCTCCGGAACTGAGCGCGACATCTGCAGCTGTAGCTTCCATAACTGTTCACACAGATCTCGTGATCGCCCGTGCATTTCCTCGGCGTAATTCTACACTCATCTATATCTGAAAAGCAAAGACAATGGCGTGACTTACATGACGTAAAACGCGGCCTGGGTTTGTACTTAGCAACCGATACTTTTGCTTGTCTTGCAGTGACTCTTCTGAAGAAACATTTTTCTGGCGACCAAGACGGGTTCAGTCAAGAAATTCAAGCAAAAGGGTAGTCTTCAAATTGGTCAAATGCCCTTTTGTACTGGATAACAAACTTCGCCCTTACCCTTACAACTGTAGGATCTTTCTGCCGGCTCACACTTAAGCCCTGATCCACAATCCACGTCTTTGCATGGGTCTAAAATATAGACATAACAAAATAACGTGAAATGAAGCAATGTCCATCGTGCTTGTATACTGTTTAAAATCGAAGCAGTTGCAGAGAAGTCTGAAAAGAAAAACATTCAGAGCACCAGTGGGATTTAAACCCGTATCCGCCGCGTAACCGGCACGATGCTATACCAACCCAGCAATGAAGCCACATATTATATAACTTGAGAACTGATTTAACATTTAAAGGTTAAGTTTTGTGTGCTTCAATGCAGTGTAATGAAGGTTCAATACTAGCTCCAGTTTGTGAAGTACGAAGCGACTAGAGCAGCTAGGACCTGAGGTTGTAAAAATACCCCCAATTACAATGGAAATTGAATCTATTTCAATAGCTCAATACTTGAACTGTTTGAGGAGAGCGCTTGCACTCACTATCAATTTTAGGACCTCCACTTTGCAATCTCTGTGTGCGCGGTTGCTTTGAAGGAAGATCAAAACTGCTTGATCTGTTTAATGCTTTTCCCTTTGGTTGTAGCATCAACAGAAACTGATATATAATGAGAGAGACTGGGACTGAATGTGTGGTAAAATGTTTATTGTTATATAACTGGCGTTTTTCCCGCTACAGCACGCCCATTCATTGGCTAGTTCATGGTCACATGACATCTACCAATGAAACTGTTTCCCACCAAATGCCATAAGCGGGCAGCATTACGAAAACTATGACGTCAAACGGGAAACAGCTAAATGTTACCCGCGAAATGTTGACCGCTGTTGCACGTCATTTGTCAATAAAGTGATTATTTGTTTTCCACCAGTTTGACCCATTTGTTTTGCTATATAACAAATCACTTAATGACTGGTCCCTTGGGGAACAGTGAATTTTGATTTCCTCGACCTCTTCTCGGGAAACATTGAGGTTCTCGGGAAACAAAATTCACTGTTCCCCTCGGGACCAGTGATTAAGTGTTTTAAAAATGATGTGTACCTCGACATTCGAATGTCCCTATAAAGTTGAAACACACTTCGTTTGCTTTGCACTTTGGGGGTGACAGTGAACACTCATTAATATCTAAAGAAAAAACAACAAAGATTACTTGTCATCGTATTGAGCGCAGTGATCAATTAGACAGTTAAACGCTTCATGCGTCACTAGTCTCAAAGTACATCTTGCGTTTTACAGTTAGAATCAAAACGTCGTCGAGTTCTCCACGAATATCAACTAAAATACGATTTTGTCAAGATAGGATCGTATCTTATACATGTTCACTGAACTATATATTAGAAGTATTAACCAACACACAAAGAACAGACCCAAGAACGCAACGCTACTTTCGGCTTCAATTGCCTTAAATTTGAAAGACTTTGAAGCTGAAGGTGCTAGAGGCTTGTAAGATAAGACGCAAACCAAAGAGACGATAAAACCAGTGGATAACTTATACTAAATTGAAACTTCTCCGTGTGATTTCAGCGTCCAAATCTTGATCTGGTTTCAAATCTAACCAAAGGTATTTAGTAAATACCTTTGGTTAGATTTCAAATCAGAGCATTTAATTTTATTTGTTATTGTATTAGCTTCATCCCTTACTTCACCCGCACTCATTAAACCATGAAAATCACAAAAAAGTAAAGTGGAAAGCTAGGTGTAACTAAGCGCGTCGACCACTATAAACAACAACATTTGAGCATTTGTCTCTTTAGCCCAACTAAGCCCAAAGTCTCTTTAGCCCGACTGGCTTATAACCGTTGAACTACACACACGCTCCCCCCTCCCCCCGCCCTTGATGAGATCTTTGTCCATCGCAGCCGGGTTACTCCGTAGCATTCTCACGGGTTGCCCCAAATATTCGAACTTGTACTGCTCGAGTAGGAGTCTGCACCTCCCCCCAGAGACAAACATACATTAAAATAAATCTACTTCAAAAGTAATAAATGACCGCTGGACATGCCTCTCTTTCGCTCCTGAAAACAGTATTGTGTGTGCAATGTGAAGTAAAAAAGAAAAACATCTAAAATGGTTTGTCGTTACTGATAAGACTTACATCGGAATATTTGGTGTAAACCTACCTTGACAAGGACGTCCTGGGCTGTTACGATTGCAAACAAAGCCATCCCCGCATTGGATTCTGTCGCAAATGCTCTGAATCTTGGCTGAAAGAACAACCATAAGTAACAAAAGAAAAAAAAATGTCAATTGCGTGCTAGGTGCAACTTCTAAATACAAGAGGAAAACATCTCGTCGTTAACTAGAACTTGGATGCCCAGAGGAGAGTAACATTGTCTGACAGTGCAAGAACTCATCATCTAATTGACCAGCTCATAACATAACAACTTTGATCCATTTCAACAAAACGCCGTTCCGTAAAATGCAACCTGCACATGATCTGTTTATTAACGTTACGATATTTATGGATTAACTTGTTTGAAAATATCAGAGGAGATAACTTATTACTTTCCCTTCATTCCAGTATTTAATGAAAACCCTTAGGACGTGTGCCTGTCGGCTTCTAAGAACGTTCTGACAAAATATCGAACTTGTCATGCTTGTCCAAACCCGCTGTGGACAAGAAAGAGGCGTTGTTCTCTTTTGTCTTTTCCATGAGGCTATACAAAAGGAATTTCCTTTCTGCGCAGAAGAAAACTGTGGTACACGTAAGTAAATCTTTATTTTGGGCAATATTTTTCCGAATACTATCAAGAGTAACTGTGACCGAAATACTCCGGAGAAGATTCGCTTTTAAAGTGGCCTTGAAATTTTGAAGCTTGTACCAATGTATAATTAAAGAACATTGAACGTTTTAGAGCAAAACGTATTCTGGTTAACAGATATAAACCGTATTAATTCAAAATAAATTTTGAAATCTGTGTTGGTCATCTCAAAAAGATAAACTATCAAGACTCGAAGAAGAACAAGAGAGCAAACTTTAAAGTAACGACGATATGTGACGCTATTCACCAGACCTGCAAAATGGATCGAAACTACCAATGAATAAACGATTTTATTTGTCTTCCTGGATATCACTGAGAAGAAACTGCTTAAAAGAAATTAACTTTGATTGGTCGTTTCGTTCACGTAAAGATTAGAGAATTCTAATTTTTTTTTAATTCTGAAAAACAAGACGAATCACAAAGGACGATTACTGTTAGAGCTTTGGCAGAAAAAAATGAAACTTCTGCTCAGAAAACGCAGACACTATTGTTGGCGTTTACCAGTGATGTTTTAGTTATGATTTTAATTTTGGTACCCGTGTAGCTTTACTTGTGGCAAAAAGATTTTTCCAGTTCCCACTCACGTTAAAAAGCTTATTATTCTCTTCATAATGGGCTCATTTAATATGTCGCTCATATCGAAATTACAAATAAAGGCTAGAAATGTTCTCCGCCCCCAAGCTCTCAAATATTAATCCTACCTTACGGATAACAAAATTGCTTTGCAAAGAAAGATTGAAATGCTCTCTGTGCAAGAGTAGGCACCATACAAAATAAAATTAAAAAAATCGCAAAATTGATAGAATGATTTTAATTTTGGATCTTGACTGGGCGAAAGGTAATTATGATTTTTTCTGCGACTGAAAGTGTTTTACGTAAAATGTAAAAGGAAGCCATTAGTGACACAAAACAAAACTTGATAGTAATTACCTTAAAGAATTTGCATGCAAATTGCGAGCAGATGGCCAATTAGCGACCATTCTCATATGTTGTGGGATTAATCTAAAAATTATCGTATTTTTCTATTCTTAAAACCACACAAAAATCGTCTTTTAAAAGTCTTGCGCTGCCATGTGTGTATCTCGATTTCTTGCTATCTACATCATTTTAATCCTCCTCTAAAATCGAAGAGGAGGGCCAATATAGATGAAAGAAATGCAAGCTTGGTTAACCCCTTTATTTCTAAGTCGCTTATCGCATTTGATAATTACGATGATTTCTTTTCCCTGCACATGGATACCTGTTTTATTTGGCCCATTTCAGCCAATAGAAAGAGGTATGTCATTAGAGGTAATTGCTTGGCCGAATAACAGTGTTTTTGTTATTTCGCCGCCAGAAATCATTAGCGTTGAACACGGCGGATGGAATACCAGGCGACAATGAGTTTCAAAATCATTGCAGGTTGAGAGTGGTCAGTACTTACACTGTACGCTCGCTCGAGGACATTTTTCACCGAGAATAGTTTAAGACGAACCTTGAGGTTATCTGACAGTTATGGGTATGTATGTGCTCGCCAAACGTCAAGGCAGATTTGGTTTACTTTCTCTGTAGGCATTTTCACGTGGTGGAATATCCCGTGTAACAAGGAATTAATTCTTAAAAGCACGAGACAACGTTGAACTAGGAAATATCAAGCACTGTAGCAATATTGATAAGTGGTAAAGTCCGTCTGAGATCAGCACAAACCATTTGATTAAATGTCACTTTAAATCGGCTAACCTTAGTACGAGCCGTCGCCTTTACTTGTACTTAAAAAAAAAATAAAAATCTAAGCCGGTTATCGGTAATCCACGTTAATCACTTTGCTATCTTTATTCATTTCTCTAGCCGCGGAAAACGTAGAGCTTACAAAGCAATCCCAGACGAGACATCTTTGCAGTGGATGCAAAATGCCGATAAATGATCGCTATTTACTGGAAGCCTTGGGATTATACTGGCATGAAGGCTGTTTAAAATGCAATTGCTGCGAGTGTAAACTCGGAGATATAGGTTCAACGCTCTACAATAAAGCCAACCTCATCCTGTGCAAGAGAGACTACCTAAGGTCAGTGTTTATAGTATTGCTTGTAGAAATATTCGTAGACTGTTAGAACCCAAAGCGTCGACTTTGTTTTGACTCAAATGTCACAACACCGACCAAGCTAATTCAAAGCCAGTTTATTCTAATACATCCTCTTAGAAAAGCTGATTATAAAATGAGCACGAAACAAAACAGCGCTGCGAGCCTTGAAAAGCAAATCAACCTGTCGATTGATTAGGTTGCACTTCTGCTTCCAATTTTGAAACGATTTAACTGAATACCAAAACATCGAACATCGATTCTACTATACCATCAGCCAGCAAATAACAAGTTCCAAACTGAAAACAATTCTACATAGTTAAGGCTTGCAACCCATCCTATTACTAAAGCGCCGATCATGATGAACCCGCCAGGCATCTAGTAGACGGTACCGCCCCTCTATTACATGGTTTGGTGCGAACCCGTTCACTGAGAAAATACAGGTATAAGTAACTCCCTTGATTGTGGTTGTTTTTATTTTTTACTGAAAAACATAACTTCGTATCTCAGGATATCACCACCATCTTAAGCGAAGAGGTGTGGTGTGTAATTCTCTAAACTAAACAGTCACCAACGAATAGACTGCAATAGCCTGAGTAAGAAAATCTAAACCAGTACAACTTTTACACTTGGCATGTGTTATGCTCTGTTCCTTGTGGTCTGAAGTTTAACCGGGAACTATCAAAATTGTAGCACACAATAAAACTGTCGTCTTCTTCTCCTTGTATTCCGTTCAACCCTGTAAAAGACAACTGGTCGCATACCGTTCCATGCAGAGAGGTCATTTATGACAACGATAACAAAAAGAAATGTATAGCAAGTGGCAGATGATTTCACTGTTAGCTTGTTTCGTTATCTAACGTGGAGCGGGTTAGTGCTGGACACGGTTCCAAGTTCAAGCCCTGGCTGAATTCGTTGTGTTTCTCAAGCAAGACACT